TCAGCAGGATCCAATAAGAAGAAAGTGAAAGAACTTGGTTATCTTTTCAGTATGGTTCTTCTTAAAGGTAATATACAGCTCAGGTCTTTCTTGTCTCGTAATACCTGCCAAGACTGGGGAAAGAAAAGTGCAAGGTTTTAAAAGGCTATGTATCTTTTCCATTAATACTTAAGTACTATTGTAAGCAGTAAGCCTCACAGATCCACAAAAATAAGGTTGATATTTTTCCTCTTCTTGAAAAGATAGGGGGGTTGGTTTTTTTTAAGGGAAGAAAAACATCTAAAAGGTACACAAAATGCAATGAACTATTGAGGAAGGTACAGCCTTTCAAGAAGAGAGTGGATTTGTGGAGATTGAGATGTTGACATTACTTAAATATTACACTGATATTCTGATTGCAAAATAATTGTCTCAAATCCACACATGTCAAAGTTCCTGGTACAAGATGTTATCTTCTGACATTTTCAGAACTTAATTGTGTCTTTAAAATAGGTTATTTCAATTTTCTTCTGTATTCTAGTGTGAATTCCAGGACACACCTGCCACATCTGTAAGGCTATGAACCTACAAATAACTTCAGTGACGCTCCTGTCTTTAAGCAGAATTAATTTAAACCACAACATGCAATGAAAACCACAAGAATCATCATCTCTCAAGGGCAGTAAGACAAACAGATTCCTTAGACTTCTTAAAAAAGAAGTGCAAGGTTTATTAATAAGTAAGCAACTGTTATTCTTTATGGTTCCTAGTAAAGAAGAAATTTTCTCAAGGCCGTAACACTCTAGTACATAGACTTCCAGACAGCTAGGATCAAACAACTGCTTTTACATTTTTCAGAAAACCACACAGGTTTGAAACCAATTTTTTAATTGAAAACTCCGAAAAAGAGAAGTTCACTCTGATTTCACAGAACAGTTAGAGAGCCCAAACTACTTGGAAAACGACTAATTTAGCAGATTCACAAAATCAAGTGTTTTATATAAAAGTTTGTGAATAGTTCAGTATCTTGGATGCTGACATGGTTAAATAGAAGAAAACTGACATTTCTGAACAGAATTACAAAGCAAAAAAGTTATTCTTTTCTGACTAACATAACACCTTGTAGCATCTGCTTTATTACAAGTATCTGGCATTGATGTCCTTTTAGCCAGAAAAGCCTTGAAGATATTTAAGGACTTGATTAACTGGAGTAAACAGGAGCCTCCAAAGACGGCATAACTGGTTAAAGCTGGAAGTCACTTCTGCACACTAATCCCTACTCATAACTACATCATGACTAGTCAAGAGATCTCAATAACCTAGAATTTGAGCTGCAGTTCCAAATTCAGTGCCCATAATAGAAGACAAGCGTAAAAGAGTTGGTAGCAAGGATTTTTAGAAAAAGGATGTTTAACCAAGGCTTAAATCTTTGCTTGCTTCAAAGTGTTCTTGCCTCCTCCAATGACTGGAACAGTGAAAGCTCCAATTTGAACTACTCATGTTTTAAAATTATGAGTGTGGTTGCCCTGAAGAAAAGTACCAATTCAATTCCATTATTAACAAACAGCTGAAAACCACTGGTCCAATATTTTTAAAAAAGGGATAGTAAGAAGTATAAAACTTTGTTTATTACCTGCTGAATTCATGTGGGAAGAAATAGTGAATGAAGATAAAGTTGTAATTCTAAAGCTATTAACTATCATTAGAATTTTGCACACACAAAATCTAGTACAAAGGGTTTACTATTTCAAGGACCCATTTCAACTTAAGCCTGCTTAATGACAGCTGTTAATAAATACTCTCACTAAATAATTTTCCAAGTTTTTTTTTTAAAAATACATTTCTACTGTTTATATAGTACAAAGCATAAAATATTCATAACACAAACATCAGAAACAGGCAGGTTCAATGACTAGCATTTGTACAACTATCTTGAAAACCAAAGCTACTGGAAAAATTAAATGAGATTTCTTTTTACCTTCACAAATTCACCTTTGATAATATCAAACTTCTGTTTTTCATGTACAGCTCTAGCAGTGTTTGTCCTATCAAAGGGCTCTGCAAGATCAAACGCAAATATTAAAAGTGTTAAAAAAACCTAGAGCTAGGCTGTCTTCACTGAGCAAGTAATCAGACAAAACCCGGAGGAGTCAACACAGCACTGCTTCCCAAGAGTGTTTTGAGTGGCTGATTCTAGTTTGCTTCTCAATCTTTATTTCTACATAACATCCATCCAAAAAAAAAAAAGCCCCAAACCCCAAATGGTCTAATGGTATGTAATACATAATAAAGTCAGGTTATTATATCTATTGATGCAGACTATGATTGTACTGAATTTATGCATCAGTAATTATTTGTTCCTGCTTAGTCTGTGATGACATATCAGAATATGATTTTGCATATTAAAATGTTTTGAAGCTTACTACACATGTGCCTCTTGGAACTGTTTGCTTTAGATTCATCTCATTCTCAGTGAAAGAAATACAAGGAGTAAATTAAATATTTACTATAACTTTTTATATAAGATGTACCACCTACTGTAAACACGTATTTTAACAATTAACAATTTGGGACTTCTACCTTCTAACAGACTACAACTTTATGTGATGTCTTCCTTTTTTTTTTTTGCTAACACAGTTAAAACTTTGGAACTTTTTTTGTTTAATTGAAGGATTTAAAAAGTACTCCTTGCTACTGATAGGGTTGCCATCATTAAAGGAACAGATACTAAAAAATTATGATGCAGCAATTATGCATTACAATGCTCTACAAAACAGGTTTTATAGTCTTTTTTGCCTTACTAGAGAACTGTTTAAGTAACATGGTATATTCCACACTGGCAGTATGTATGAAAGTCCTTAAGGGCCACAGAAGTACTTGCTAGATCAGGCAGCTTCTTTGTTTAATTGGTTGTGAATTGCTGTTGTTCAGATAGGTACATACAGTAAAATAAAGCATTAAACAGACATCAGAAGGGCTTATGCCATTCTGGAGATTGGGACTTCAAACTTGGAACATGCTCCATAGCATTGGGTTTTTATTTCTGCAAGCTCTTTAAATTCCCAAAGAAATTGTTTCATGCAATAGATGTTGTATTTGGGAAGTTTCTAAAAGGTTTCTCTTCAAAATACCTATGAAGTTTTCAGTGGATGTTTACAGGCAGATTTATTTCACCTTAGAATGCATCTCACATTTAGATTACAACAAAAAATTGTATCAATTAATCAAATAAAAAAGGTACAAAGTCCTCTGAAGTCAGTCACATAATTTAACACAGTGACCTACTGCCACTAAGAACTCCATGTCCCTTACCATGTGAAGCAGTACAGCATCTCTTTCATGTCTTAAACGTGATGTTAACTGTTTCTTTAGTGCTAGGACCTTTATGTACTTATGTTGAATCAAGCGCTACCTATTTTTTTAAAGCAACAAGAGCAAAGCTGTACAATCTTCTGAAACCATCAGCATGAAAAGAAGCACTCCAGTCACAAAAGCTGACTCATATTTTCCCGTTATTCTTCCTGCATATGTACTGACTGTCAAAAGACAAATTCATTCCCTGGAGGGCAGCAAGAATAATTTTGGAATCAGCTACTATTTACAACACTACATTTTCTAACCATCAAGACAGCGAGAGTCCATCATAAGTTGTTTTGTTCACACACAGAGATGAGAATATTAAAAGAAAAAAAGTAATACAACTTCAACACTGATGCTGAGGGAAAGGCTAAAGGGAATAATCTTTCCAAATGAAAATACAAGAAATCATAAAACTTCAGAACTGCTGCAAACCAAGCCTTGAAGAATTGTTTTTAGAATTGTTTTTAACACGTGGATCTGAAAGACTTAAAAGTAGAGCTTAGACGGCATCTGATCCAGTTTCCTTAAATGGCTATCAATTTAATTGTCTCACAAAACTGCCATGTTTCTAGCTTTTCCAAACTGTGTCTTTTTCAACAGGAGAGTGTATGGTATTATTTAATACAGACAAGATTTAAACTGAAACCAGAATAGTCACTAGCAGTTTAGAGCTTCTGACAAGGAATGTTCAGAAACATCAGTTAAAAGCAGTGTTCTCTGTATCCCCATAATAGCAATAGCCTGACAGATTTTAAACTGTCTGAAAAGAGCATCTCTACTATATTTGTTTCTCTAACAGCAGAAGTAAGTGAACATCGGTCTTAAGGCCAATAAAAATTAAAACAGAACACAATTTTTTCTTTGACAAGCCTAAATACAGTGCTACATGCAGAATTATGACAACTTGCAGGCATAGACTTGTGTAATCTATCAACAAATATATCTAAAATATTAAAAAAATATATGCAATAATATCAATTACTAAAATTTTAGTCCGCTAACTGGAAAATCTAACACAGACTTGGAAACCAGAATATGTTGACATGTTTCGCTAGCTTTTAAAGGCTTCTTCTCAAAGTACACAGAGGTCTATGTACGTACTTTGTTAAATTAGTTCAGCTTAACAGCTGTTATAAGCATGGTGTCTACTTTGAGTTGAAATGGGAAATCTGATTTTTCCCTTCCAATTTAGAAGTAAAAACTTGGTATGTGAGGCTAAAACCCACTCTTAATAAAGTCTTGAAGCACATTGTAACAGGAAGGAATCAGCTGTGCCACCTATAATTTTGCTTTTTTAATACTGCAAATGCAAGATATACTCTTAAGGAAAATTTGTATGTAATCAAGCCCGCTTAATACAAATTCTAAAATGCTTACTTTGTATGCTGATATTCTATTTTCCAACCTGACCGAAAGAGAACCTAATTATTTAACCACTTTGTAAAGTCACAAAAAAATTGAGAGCTTGAAACACACAGCTCCCTCCTGCAACACAGCGGATCAGCCTCATGTGACAGCAGCAGACAGGGCTGCCCAGCATTCCCACCTCCCACAGTCAGACCAGAGCCTTGGCAATGCCTGCACTGTGCTATCCCGAATAATTTCAGCTGTGCAGATACTCCAATTCTCACGTTTCTCAACTCTGAGACTGCAGAGTCAAGTGTGCAGTCATCTTTCAGTGTATTTTTTCCCCTGTGTCTGGTAGTTGATTCTTTTCCCCAAAAGTCAAATAAAGAACAGAATCCCATCAGGTGGCTTCACATTGCTGTCCTTCCGATTACAGCCAAGTCGGTGAGCTCTGGGCCACAGAGTAATGAACCAGTAGGCAATTACTCCCTGCACAGAGCAGCACAAATGCAGGAAATTAGATGCACACACACAGGTGCACTCCCACCCTCGGCAATCTTGAAGAATGTCTGTCCAGCCACAGGACTTCTGCCTTATCCCCCTCCTCCCCTAGCAAAATTTTCCCAGTCTCTAACAGCTCTTTCCACAGCATTTGTCTCCTGTCCAAGTTCTATTCCTCTTTTATCCTAAAACTTCAAGCCTTGATATCCTGATCCTAATAGCCTCTGTTAGTATTAGCCCTCTAGATGGGGCCCAGGCCATCTCTCATTTCAAACCTTCTCTGTTCACCCCAGTATCCTAAAACCACCTACTTTAATTCTGCTCCTGTTCCACCTCAGTTCCTTATCCACGGTCCCTTGTCCAACCACTTCACCTGCTGCATTCTGATTCTCACTCCCCTTTCTTACCTCTTTGTGTTAACTATTTCCAGTTACACAGCACCTCTCAGTCCCTTCCCTGCTTCTCTTTCCATTTTCCTACCATCCCAATCCTCTTGGCCTATTATCTTCTCTTCCCCTGGTCCAAGCTTTATCTCCTACCTATGTTCATCTTCTCCATATATCTGAACAGCCATATCTTCTGAACAGCCCCAAGTCTCTCAGCCTGTCCTCATAAGAGAGGTGCTCTAAGACAAAGTCCATCTAAAACAGGGTAGGTTTAGACTGGATATAAGGAAGAATTTCTTTACAATGAGGGTAGTGAAACACTGGAACAGGTTGCCCAGAGAGGTAGTGGAGGCCCCATCCCTGGAAACATTGAAGGCCAGGTTGGACGGGGCTCTGAGCAACCTGATCTGGTTAGTGGTGTCCCTGCTCACTGCAGGGGGGTTGGGCTAGATGACCTCTAGGGGTCCCTTCCAACCCCAAACACTATGATTCTATGACATAGATTCCCCATGGCAGTTGAAAGGCATCAGAAGCACATGAAGCAGGTTCCCCGTATAGTACTACTGGCCAGTTCAGCCTGCACTAAGAAGGCTGAGACCTGCAATTCCAAAAGGTAGCCTGAATTTACCCTCCAGCTGTGGAGGGTATCATACAGTCTCTGCACAAAACTGTACATTCACAAGCCAGCTAAAACCAGTAGCAACAAGGGGATCGACATATGCATAATCTAGTCACTTCTAGGACTTGGGATGCCAGAGCATTTCTAGAACAAAGCATATTCTTAGAGAGGAATCTGAATATGTGCCTGCCGTGTTTTTTCAGGAGCTCAATCTTGGCAAAACTGACGACTATTTTTGCAGAGCAAACATACACACTACTGTCATTAAGGCCATTCCTTGTCAAAGTCCTAATCCCTGTTCCAAAAGTAACAGGGCAATGAGCGCTCTTGAAGAAAAGGTCAGGAGAACTATTTTTAAACACTATAGAACTTAAAGCTTCCTTCTCAAATGTTTTTGGCGGGACTGTTTCCAAAACAATTTACATTGGTTAAACTTCATTTTGTACATAAATATATTATATGTGTGCATTATTAAAACACAACCAAGGTAAAGTCTAATTGACAGATTTATGTATTCAGTGTCTTAACAGTTAAAAAATGATAATACAGCTTTGCATTTTACCTTCTACACAAATATATTTGTTTCTCCATTCAATACCATCAGGTCTTGGAATAGCTTTGGCCTCACGAACTGAAATCATTTGACGGCTCCAACTAGGGAAAAGGAAAACAATTTGCAGAACTTTAAACCCTTGATTATAAATTAGTAATATCAGTTTACATTTAAAAAATCGTCAAATTGCTATGTCATAAGCCTGGATAACACCGTACTTTATAATAATGAGTAAATAAGTGTAACAGTCTAGTCTTCGTAATTCACTATATAAGAATAAGGAATGATGGGTAGGAAACAAGAAAAATTTCCCACAAACAGAATTTCATTTATGAAAACATCTGCAAAACGGAACATCACAGGTATCCATGAGTAACGTATATTTACGACAGAATAATTTTTTCAAAACACAGTGTCAACTTGAATATGGACACCTACATCTATTTCTAAGTTCAAAAGAAATTATAGCCTCAAATCTATCTTTCAGAATTTTCTGTGAGGAGAAAAGGAACGTAAGAGTTTAAGTGCACATTAAGTCATATACTGCATTCCATTAAAAAAAATTAAACAAGATATATAAAGATAGCTTGCTTACAAGCCAGCACTCCTGGTGCAAGGAACCTATTATTAGAAAGCACTAACACTTCGTATATGCTGAATTTTCGATCTCCTAGAAGTATAACAACAGAGCAACAACTCAAATACGTGTTTGAAGATATTCTATTGCTTTCTTCACACAGTTTTACAACAACAAAACCGTAGGAAACAATCACACTGAAACAGGAAAAGCAGGCAGTTTACAGGGCAATCTTTACAATGTGGCAAACATCTTTATGAGCTTTATGATGCTTGGCACAAGAATATGCCAAACTTAATGGAAGCCAAAGCAACCACTTGCAGTTTTATGTTCTTACCTACCCACCCAGTTTTCAGCTGCTCTTAACTAAACCAGGGAACTACTATATCAGCAAAAGGCCTGGATCACCAACAATGTGTCACCAGAGCCCTGACTAAATGGGGCTTAGAAGTAGCTGGGCAGCATGCTGCTAGCTGTACTGGTGTTATGTATACCTGATGTGATTTCCTGATTGGATCAATCTTCTGACATAATGCAAAGAGAGAGGAGCTTGGCTGGGTGCATCAACCACCTGCAGTAAATCTGTAAATATCAACTGTAAATCAAAATACAGTCTATAATTCATCAGTTAAATTTGGAAGAATGCTCTGCTCCCTAGGCCACAGATCAGCTGTCATAACTCCATTAAGTCAGTGGTGATCAGACAGTTTACACCAGCTAAAAATCTGTGCCTGTAATTCTACAAAATACCTTGGATAACACTCATGACTAAAACAACTTATGAAAGTAAGCTGTTTGAATAACTGTACTTCCATAGAACACATGTTATTCTTCTATTGAAGAATATGAATAGGGCCTATTTCAAAAAGGTGCAGGACACGGCATATGAAGCATAGTTTAGGATACCTCAGATTCCTTATTCACCCACTGCTCTGTATATTTAGACTTCTCTTGATATACTTTTTAGAAAATTAGTACAGGTGATGATCATTCTAGCACTTAATGCAAACTAAAGCTTTCATTCTAACCCATCACTCTCCTTCTCCTTAATTCCCAGAGTAGACTATTTTTGCAGAATCAGAGATATTATGAAGCACCAAATACTTTCCTATCATGTCTTTTTAATAAACTACCATCAACACAGGCTTAACAAGAAATTCAGATTAATTGCTCAGAAAAGACACAAACACAAAAGAAGACAAAAGAGAAGCAGCATGTGACTAGAGCATCAAAAAAGCTTAAACTGCAGCTCCAGAACATTGGTCATGAGCAGAAGAAGCTGACAGTTCAACTCTTCTGCTTTTTCTAAAAGCTTATTTAAAAATCCGAGATATCTAGGCCAGTGGGAAAAAAACAAAAGTCATGCAATAAAGTATTTGAGCTGTGTTTGGTTAAACCAGGCAGTATTGTTTCACTTCAAACATGTAATTCTTGTCTTGACTTACTTTCCTCTAGCTTATACATGGATTGATTCCTCAGCAAAAAAACAAATTTTATAATATATAGTTTTATGTTTATATATATATTATAGGTTATAATACACTGGCTTAGTAAAAAGCAACAAAAAAGGTAACATTTCTAGCTATTTAAATACCTTTTTATTTAGACTTTAAAACAACTGCTTTATCTATAGTCTTATTAAACCTTTACTAACCCTGCCTTGGTATCAAAATCAGTCTGAATTAGAAATGAATTACCAATAGCAAGTGATTTGTGTATCAATTTAAGCCTTTTTGGCTTGCACACAATAACTCCATGATTGCCAACACAAAGCAAATATTCTCTGCACACACACTTTCAATCCCTAAGTTAACAATAACCATATAAACAGCTATTTCAATTATCAGTTATTTCTGGTGTCACTGCCCATATTAGGTATGTGTTCCTCATGGAGAAGGCAAGAATTTGAAAGAAAAAGACCAGGCATTTCCATGTGTAAGTGTGTATGAATACAGCACAAATAGATCCAAAAGCTCATCTTTTCCAGAATGTTCTTATAAGACAAAGCCACTTGCATAAACACACTAGGATGGGTACAAATTGCAAGCATATTTAATTCAATATGCTATTAAAAAATGGTCCTTTCATTACCTAACCAATTCTACCCTGAAGAGAGCCATGAGAAACTGTATTTTACGTTTTGTCACGATAATGTAAACAATCTTCTATTTTGTCCATGAAACACAACTTAATCAGTGAATGATCTCAAACGACTGCTACATAACTTGAAACAATAAATTTAAGAGAAGTGCAGTCCCAAAGGACAATCTCTAAGCTCCCTAGCAGTAATTTCAGGGGAGCAAGGCCTTGCTTCAAGGTCTCGCTCTGTAAAGAGACAGCCAAGTGAAAACCTGCTGCCTTCACTCACAGCTGCAGAAATGAAATCAGACACTCCCTCCAGAGGGTCTGGTAAACAGGGACAAGTTTCCAAATACTTTCTTTTGAGAACACCTCCATACATTTTTTACTTGGTCACATTCACTGTGTGAGCAGTGGACCTTTGATAGTTTGAAATACTTAAAGTTAAAATGGAGTTGTAAGCAGACTTTTAGCCAGCTGTATCACGCATTATGCAGACTTGAACTCTTACGGCAAGCTAATTATACAACCATGTCAGCAAATCAAGCTTTGCCGTATGCAGTAGGCAAGTCCAATATATGCACCAATTTCCAAATCACATTTCGGGTAATTTATGAAGGGCATTAAAAATTACTTCTTACAGACACACTGAAAATCCCAGAGTAGGGCTGTGGAATGTGTGGTGTAAAAATACATGTTATTCAGTGATTTTCTGAATCAGCTTACAGTCTAAATAAACAAAGCAGATTAAAAGGAAAAAAACATAGCACAAGGAGATAAACTTGGCTGCAGAGATGTAAGACTCCTGTTTCTTCCTTTGTGGCCTACTCTTTGGACCCATCCTGCCCTTAAATATTAGTCACTACATCAAGTGAAAAAACCCATAGATTTTAACTGAAATATCTACTGGCCTTTGCTGGACTGAGGGGGAAGTTTAAAACAATATATCAGCATCTTCCCTTCATCTTCCTGACCAATACATATAAAATAGTTGATCAGTTATGCATGCCAGGCAGGTGGTGTCAATGACTCATTCTGTCCAAAATTATGATCTTCACACGTGATCCGATCATTCTTGACTGCATGCTGCTCTTTCAGCAAAACAGATCCTGCATATTGAACATGGTAGTGTTGTGTCCTACTCCATAGGTAGGAATCTACAAAAGTCACTTTTATGAACATTGAAGCAGTATTCTCTTTAGTAATCTTTTCATCAAACACATCACAGTTCAGTAGTGAAAGTTCACTTGGCACAGTACAGGTCATCTAAATGACACCTAACTTAAGTCACAGTGTCTGAAATATAGCCTGAAAATTCCTGTGCATACAACCACTACTGGATGTTTTACAGGGAAAGTAAACAGGGGAAAAAAAAAAATACTGATTACAGCAATGACAATATTCAATATGTTCAGGAGTGAAACACTAAAAGGCAAAACTGAGAGTCCTGTGTTGTGTGTATTTAACTCTTGTCCTCATTCCCATCTATAACGTTGTTTCCATCAGCAACCTCAAAGCAAAGATAACAGATACTGTGGACTGTGTGACACCGCACTTGTGCTCACCATCTGGCTATCACACACACACAAAAGTTTAAACAATATGTTCTGCCTGCCTTTTCCCTAGCATGGGCATTAATTTGGGTTTCTCTTCTCCAGCAAATTACCAGGATTTTTTGAAACTATATGGAATTTTATTATCTTAGGGACACGCACCCTGCTCCTTTCAAACAGGATTTATAGTTGTCAGGGATGTACAGATGGTTAAGTAAACAGTACACCTGACTTAAGTTTTATTCCTGTAGCAGAAAGAGTTAAAAATAATGAATGTTGCTGCATTAGGTTCCTGATATGACTTCTCAGCTATGTAACATTTTCAACACAGGAATTCCAATGGCTATTTTCTACAACAGAATATCACTAGTCAACTGTTCAAACGCTTATCAGGTACTTAACACTGGAAAGACAAACCAGATACTCTTTTTTTGTTTGGTTCATTATTTTTTAAAAATCTTTTCTTCCCTTGATGTCAGCCACTATCCTATTCTTCATTGTCCACTTTTTCAAGCTTTGTTTTAACCAGAAGCTCCCCCGTGCCTGTGATTAAACTTAGGTAACACTTTTTCCTCATTTGTGATCATAACAAAAAATAATATTCAGGGATTACCATCAGTTCAGCACTGATACTGCAGCATTGTTAGTCTTCATACTTCTTAGTATATCCTGCGTGTCTAGCAGCAGGCAGGAAAAAAAAAAATAAAATTTTCCTGGACCAGCTACTGACTTATGCAGAAATCTGCTCTTGACTATGTTCACAATTACCCAAACCTAAAAAGTCAAGTTAGGCATTTTTCCTGTATTTGGACAAGATCTCTGCTGGTATGCACAGGCAAACCAGACACTTCTTCCTTAGTGGAAAAGATACTTACTTTCATATACAAGAAGATTAACAGCTCATTATACAGACAAGTAATACAGGATGCATAAATTAGGAATTCGCAGTGTCTTCCAATTTCCCTGTTTAGCAAACAGCACCTTGCCAGCTGAAAAGACAGGTACTCAGGAGAAGCTTTTAGGACAAAAGACCATTCCCTTATTTGCAGAGATCGTTGAAGGAAAATCCTTTATGTGAAAATCTCTCAGAATCAGGCTTAAGCATGCACAAAGAGCAATTAATTCATGAATTGCCACAGGCCATACGGATTTACATATTCCACACACGGTGCACTCCCCAGCAATGTTTTCTTGTAAGGGTTTCATGATTGTTCACTTCTTACATTGAAGTAAAATACGAACACTTCAAAAATTACAATGAGTATCCAGCAGTTATACATTTCATTCTCCTTCCAGGAAATGGATATGATGCACATATACAGGACAGCAACACATATGAAGCAACTGCCTCAGAAACAAGTTCTTTAGAAGATCTTTAAGCTAGCTGAAATACAACCATTTGAGATTTTATACAGACAACCACTTTTCCTAAGAAATTCTCAAGTGACAATTTGGCAAAATGTTAGTCATCTACAGCTTTCTCTGATGCCCTCACAACTAGCTTCTCCTTCTCTTCTACAAGTGCAGATGAAAAATTAAACTCAGATTCTAGCAAACCAACAAGGTTAGTGAACCAACTATACATGGGAGAATTCTTCACTAGGTGTGGCCTATATTAACGTGTATTATAGTCTAAGTAAGGAGCCACCTGGTCAGTTACCTCCACTGACTCAGGGTGACAGAAGACAAGCACAGCTAGTAAGGACCAAACAATTAATACCTCAATCAATATCTTAAATTACAATTAAGAAGAACAGATTTTTTCTCACACATGGATAGGCAGTTCTAGTGTAATATAATAAAAGACATAGCTCTCTAATTTCTGGCAGCTATTTTGCAGGATAGGAAGCTTGGCTAAGCAAAAGATGTCAGATGCTCTTTATCAGCATTCCTGTTGGCCTTTAGCCCTTTCACCCGTTTCCTTTCTGTCAGTTACCACTCCTGTGTTACTGTTATTTTTTCTCTTCAGGGATTATAAAGTGCTGATACACTGAATAGAAGGAATCAAAGTTTTGCATATTCTAAAACACTAAGATGAGCTTATTACTTACTCAAATTCTGTGGCATAATATTTGAAGAAGCCTATTAGTAAATCTCCAAGGCTTGATGCATTTTTTGAGAGGTAAGGAGGAACGGTGCATGGAGCTTGATGAACAAAATGCAACTGCATAGTAGGATCAAAAGATTCCTGTCAAAATAAAATCAGAGAGTATGTATATACACACACACACTGCCTTAATCTAGGTGCATATATTTTTCACAATAAAAAAGCTGCCTATCGTTTACTTATTAGAAGTTCAAAAACAACTTATAAGCAAAGGACTCTACTTCCCCTGAGCTCACGTAGAAACATCTTGCACAGGAGCTTCTAGGACCATCCCTTGCTTTCTGTTTGCTAAAGAATTTTGACATGGGAGAATCTCTGAACTGGACTTAACGTTTACATGCTAGTAAAACCAAGGAGCAGAAGCTGAGTAAGGTAGCCCGCACTGAGCTGCCTGCAGTTGAACTGAGACAGGGTAAGTGAAACTAATGCACTTATTGCCAATTCCCATAACTCTGGTACAGAAACAAGCCAAAAGGAAGGCCTGACTTATTTTTCCCACAGCATAGGCTCTAATATGAACCTGCATCCTCCAAAATAATGAGATCAAAGACTGCAGCAGCACCTCCTCTAGCCAACCTATCTGAAAGAATAAAAAAACAAAAATAAAAAAAACCCCCAAGTTATACAAAAAACCTGAATACACAAACTGCATCGTTTAAGCTGAAGTATGCTTTTCTTTGGGGGGAAAAAAGGGAAGAAGTCAGGTTTGCTATAAACTAAATCACTATTGCCAGCTTAAAAAGGAATCTACACAAGACTAAATATTGTTTTACATCTGCTATATGGTTTGGGTGTCCACTGCAACCTTTAGGTTCTTTTGAGAAACTGTGTTACATGGAGGAGAACATACCTTCTCTTGCTAGAGAAACAATTTTTAAAACCCGGTAGTACCAGGATACTACACTTTACAGCCATGTTGCATATTTTAAGGAAAATGAACCAAAGCACAGACTTTACATTCACATAAAGAAATACATCATGCAAGTTTGGGAACCTGTTCAGTCATTACTGTATCTCCCCTCCCACTCCTTTGTTTTTTTAAAGAGTAATATCAGGCATCACTCAAACTGTATAATACTAGAATACCACTGGAAGCACTGTACACTGTAATACTATTTTCATGTACACAGCTGGCAGTGCTTCCTCTGAGGACGTATGGTTAGTGATCAAACCAGCAGGACTGGAAAGTTTGGGACTCCTGTCCTCTTTTGCCAATTTTAGCAGAATTTCCTGGAACCTTGCACAACACCTTCTGGGGAAAAAAGGCCATTCTTCCAGCGATGAAAAATTTCAAGTCTTGTTCTCACGACATAACTTTGCATATAAAATATTATTATAATTAGAAGAACTCAGGATTTAACAGCTTACTATCAAACAGAACACACCAAAACCATGGAGACAGACGGACATAAAAAGCAGATATGTAGCATTTAAAGATCTAAAAGGAAACAACTGTTCCCATGTTATACAATATATACAGTTTTAACCCCAAAGGTTATCAGACAAGTACTAGAGTGAAAGTCACTCCAAATGAGTATTAAAAGTTAAAAAGTATTAACAGTATAACAGCTCATGAGGAAATGGACACAGGGCAGGGGGAGAGGGAGGAATGAAAACATGGAACATGGGCTGCTGACCTCCAAACAATAAAAAACAGATATGCAATGAAATTACTACAACAGAGGTCGACTCAGATTAATAGTAACAGTTTGGAGGCAGCAGACTTTTTTTGAAACACAAAGGAGGTGGGGGTTTTTTAATGCTTTGAATGTTCAAATGCCTGAGAACTTCTCAACTGCAACGAAAAATCTGCCCCCACAGTAAGGCTGGCATACCGAGTAGCTAAATAGACTCTGGGATATTATTTTTCAGAATAATAAATAAGCTATTTTCTTCAGCACTATTACAAGCTTAGAGAGGATATTGCTTTTTGTTATCAGTCTTGACCTTAAGTACATTTTATGGTTTATATATTGATCACACTTAATTACTTGTTATTAGTGTTTGTACATCATTTGAATAAGCAAAAATATATCAAGTTATGCTAATAGCACAAGACAACATATCAAACACAGTTGTAACAAAACTTGCAGCAAAAAGATTGTATGTGTGCCTGTGTGCGTATGCTCACATCCAGAAAGAATGGAGGAGCAAAAGGATATAAAATACAACTTTATCCAAAGATATTTTTTTCAATAAACTTTGTTAGCAGTTAATGAAATAGGAAGTTACAAAAGCTTGTAGTTTTAAATCACAAATCTGTATTTTGAAAAGTGTGATTATGATAGAAGCATAGGCCAGATGAAGGCATTTTTCAGGATATTTAGTTTGTCTCTTTCTTCAGAGAGTTTGCAGCTGATCAGAAGTCATGTAAGCAGCAGTGATAAAACTGAAAGACTCCTCATTTGAGGAGTAGGAAATATACCACATTCCAAAGATTCCCAACCATGGCAGCGGAGATAAAATTCCTAACTTGCAGTAGAAAGCAATTTTCTACATCCTCATCTAGTAATTAGGATTAAAAACCTCTTCAATTATGCAATCTAAAACTATTACGGTTTTTTTTCAAATCAAGTTCAATTTCATGACACCTCCAGTTTCAAGTTTTATCATGGATGTTAAATACACTTGCCTCACAAAGGTCAGGCAAATCAAAGTTTTCCTTACTCAGAAGGACATTTGCCTTCAAAAATAAACACATACTATTCTATACAAATGCTCTAGTAAAAATGCAAGTTACAGTCTGTAGTAGCTAATCATTTAAAAACCCAACCACCTAGTTTAAGAGACACACATAAAAATAATTCTCATCTCCACTTGTTTTAGTACTTTTACCACTAAGAATATGACACTTAAAATGACAACTAAGTATTACAAAATGGAAAGTGTGGCTGAATCTACTTTTCTTGAAGAAAAGAAGATTTTTTTCACACTAATTAAAGCAAAATGCTAATCACATGTTTCTGATATTGTTAGTCAACTTATTTTTTAAACGCTGCAAGTTGCTGATCACCACATGTAGAAGAAGAAAAAAAAAGCAGTTTCATCTTTCTGAACTACAGAAAATTTGTTATGGAAGAAATCACTATTACCAGATTACAAGGCTTTACATGTAAACCCAAATTAACCAAATTAATACCCAATTTGGGTATATGGAAGATCTAATGAAAACTTCTGTCAAGATATACCAATATTCAATGTATCAATAACCAACAATGTAGTTTGCTTAAAGTGGTCAGACCAGACACAGGGTACCGAGGGTTCATTTTTCTGCTTTGCCACAGATGACCTATGAAAATCCATTAGCCTCAACCTGTCCCCATTCACCTACTGTAAATCAGGGATAACCATGCTTTTCTTCCTGCCGGAGGGACTCAGGGAATAACTAGATAAGCAGAACAAGGCACAGCTTACAGATTCTGCCTATAAGGGAGGTTGCTAATAGAATTACAAAGCATCCTTCAAACTAGCTTAGTTTCAAGTAGGCCTTCCTTGTAAGCTTTCCCTTCTTAACTTGCTCTAGAAGGCAAAAAACTGAGTTTCTTTTAAAACTAGTCCCTAATTTGCTTGCTGTGTCTGCCTCACGCTGTCTTAAGAAATGGAAAAGAAATCCAGGATCTGATTGAGCAAGAAATATAAATGAGCTATCTGTTATTTCAAAATACTGCAGAATAAGGGACCCTGAAGTCTTTTTTTCCTAGATCTCTGATCTTTACCTTGGTTGGCTGATTTCTCAAGGGAACAATAGCATTCAGCAACATGCTTCATGTTCAAGCTACATCATGGTTACACATATTCTCATTCTACCTTACACACTGGAAATGAACAGAAGCGTACATCAAAAAAATCTTTATATTTTAATATCTTGATGTATAACGAGTTTGACTCTGACTGTACAAGATTCTTCCTTCAAAGAAGCTTACAGTGGTAACATCAGCATAGTATCTTGCCATTTTTTACAGGTATCTGTATTCGCACACATAAAATAGCCTTCCCCAATCTTACAAATGAACATTTAACTCATGTTGATACTTTAAATAAGTGCAGCTCAAAGACTGAAGCAAATTGTGTCTGTCCAAGGACTGACTCCTGTGCATGAAGGAGCTACAGTAAGCACTATACCATTCTCTGCCCCACCCTTTGCAAGATATGACTGCTCACGAAGCTGAGGCAGCAGAAACAAAAATGTGCCCATGCTAGAGTCCACAAAGTTCACAATCCAGAGCACTAACGGACACCCACCTCCATCTGGATTTAAGCTAGTACACCAGGCTGCTCTGGAAAGTTGGAGACTCGGGCACATGTTCTCTTCTGACTCCCGGCTGCAGCAACGCTCACCTCTGTCAAACACGCAGGCCGAACAAACAGAAGCTGTAACAGCCTAAGCCACCACAGGCTCCCCAGAGCTCATCTGTAAAAGTCCTGACTTGGAGGCAAGTTCTATGTAGACTTCAGAACCGATCCACACATTTTGTGTGGGTACTCTCATCTACGCCGTCGGGCTGGTGGGGCAGGAAGCCCCAGAATCCAACCCCACATCTGATGTGGTCCAATACTCCCTCTAAATCAGCAGTTACAAAACACGTCAGCTCAGTGCCAGCTGGAGACTCCTCCACAGCAACAGAATGCACAGGTGGGCAGGACTGAAGCAAAATTTTGTGAGATGTCAAAAGTCTCCTTAGTAAACATGTATCATTCACTCTCTGCATCCAGAAATAATTAGGCAACTCAACAGCAGCGGGAAGGTACAGAATTCTGAAACACCACAGTTGGATGGAAAACTACTTAACATATTAGGAAATAAGAATCAGAAAGTTACAGATGACACAGGGATATTTTCAGGCCAGCATAAAGAGAATTAGGTCAACAACTCTTATTAGCACTCGTTTCCAACTGTCTGTGAAATCTTCTCATATGTAACAGACTGTTTTTCCTAAAGAAATTATCAAAAGCAGTAGATAACCCTTTCCAGGCTTATGTTTAGTGAATCAATGACCAGGCTTACAGACAGTGTTTAATTTAATCCATTAGAGATATTTAAGAATTCATATATTTTAGACAAGCAGCTTCATACACGTATATGATGTAGTAAATTCATAAGAAACACTTACTGGGTAATTTTTTTGAAGGGATGGAAGGATGGGTTCAGGTAGGGCTATAAAAAAAAAAGTTTAAAGTTGCTGTGATTCATGAAATTCACAGGAAACAATATCATATCAACTACACCAAAGGGTTGGGCTGTTCTATCTTAAAAACATCTATCAAAAACTTGACTTTTATGCATTTTGTAAAGTAAGTTGTTCACCAAATCTTTCTATTATTGTATTTTGTATATAGTAGTATAAGGAGTTAATTCAGCAAAGGGAAACTGTTACTAAGATACTACTATTTGTAGAAGACATGATGAGTTCTACAGCAGCTGGGTACAACTTTGCTTTTAAAATTCCTATTAATTCACGGCTGTAAGAAACTCATCTAGATTCCCTAAAGGAAAAATCAGCTTCACTCATTTTTTTTTTTCCTACATCTAATATAATATGATTCTACTGCAGCACAAGAAGTCTCCAGATACTGCAAAAGTACGCATTCTTCAGCTGCAAAGTATTACATACCAAGCCTCCAAAAGTATCCTAAAGATAAAATGCCCAACATGCTTAGCAGGCATTGCTAGCAAAATCCCCACAAAATATAGGCTAATGCTGTTAGTTGGTCTACTAAATGGCAAAGAGGTTATAAAGATTATGCAGACATTAGTGATGCTAACAAACACAAAATGAACTAAACAATTGTAGCTTTTATGAAAGTCATGGATGGGAAGAGCATCTATTGCACTATAAATACAACAGGGAAAAAACTTATCTCCCAGGTTAGGTGTTCCTATGGATAGACAGAAAAAAAATCCCAAAGTATTCACATCCCACTCAATCCTTAGAGCAGCTACAGAACTGTTAGAGCACTCCTCATACTAAAGCTTTAACATCATGTCTTCAGCATGTTTGGGATTTTTTTTTTTTTTTTTTTTTAATTGGTCTACATCACTCACTAGAGAGAATGATAATTAAGTCAGCACACAGGACTTTAACGTGGGACTTAGTTTACTCTTAAGACAAGGTCTCACAGGGGATGAGATGTTACAGAATCCTTTTTCCATACGGGTTAATAATCAGAACAGCAAATTCTCAGAACATGCTTGGGATGTCTTCAAAGAGTATACTATATGAACTAGCAAGACTGCTAAGAATATGATCACAGCTGCTTTCATAATATTTTTATTTTGTTTGCGGGTGTTTAGAAATATGCAAGAACATCTTATTTCTGCAACATCTTGGATAATTTCCAGTTCTTTGCCACACTAAAATAAAAGGCAACAAAATCTGAGCAACACAAGCAATCAAGATCTTTTATCTAGATCTGTATGCTATACTAAGAGGATAGAGTTAAGGGGAAAAGTTACCGCTTACCACTAGCATTCACCACATTTTCCTTTTCTTACTGTACAAGATAGCGGGACCTGTTATCTGGAGGAAAGTTCATGTACAAGATACTGATGTAGCTACAAAATAAACTCAAGCCACACTAACCTTAGGTCCAGATATATCCACATGAGTATAAGAATATGGAAATGGATTATGTAGTAAAGAAATTTGTCTAGTGAAGACAGGGACACTATTTACTGCAAGAGAAAGCTTTCACTTTTATTTTTTCCTCCCCAGTAGTATCAACGAAAGCTCTGTTAGAAATTCTATGACAAGGACACAAGCTACTTTCAGTATCATCACATGCATGTAGCAGGAATAATAAAAAAAAAAAAAGTTGAAGTCTGCATGAATAAAGCATCAGAATCTAAACAGCTGGTGCTAGATAGGTGTCCAGTGCCACACTTCAGTCTTTTTTAGCAGAAAAGGCTGATGAAGCACAGGTAAAAGGCTCCTCCTTGGTCTGTGGACTGCTGATCCTTCACAGGCATCTGACTGATCACTGTTTTGCATGAAAAGGATTATTTGAACTTGGCAGCTGCCACAAATGACTACAGCAAATGCCCTCATGCTTGCACGGCTGTTAACGTTCTGGCAAGCCTACACATTTATACTTCCTTATAACTCCTACTCTCTTCCCTTTTGTGTGTTCCTTTTACACACAGCTCAGTAACTGGCTATCCATGACTGCACACGACACCCAATCCAAGTCTCTAGAGTAACTGCGATACAATGAAAATAGATTTGGAGAATCAATTTCCAAGTGAAAAAGTCCATTTCCATTAAAAGTGTAACACTAATTACCAAATGCTTATCAAGTCACTGTTAAGATGGTCACTAATTGCTAGACCATGTAAAGATACTTTTTCTCCTCTCCTGTGGGTGCTTCACCTTTGCATAGCAATTTTCACATCCAGTAGTTGCCAACATTTTCAGTCTTGTATCTAGTAATTGCTTTGGCATTTTTAAGTTCATTGTCATTTCATCTCCTCCAAATCAACATTTTTTGTTTGATTGGTTTTTTCCTGGTGTGTCTTAAGGATCTACATTGAAGTACTCAGTCACCTACAGTATGGTTTCAGAGCTGTGACAACAGACTTGGCTACATTTTCTTTTCTTTCCACAGACACAAAGAAATCTATAGAATTCCACCATAGTAGATGTAGAGAAAAAAAAACATAGTCACTGTATAGACTGGCTTATGTCCTACTGTCCTCATGATTGCTACGCTAACAACAAGCACAGGGTATGGGCATCAAAGAATTCAGAAGTAATGCAGCCAACCGAATCTCAAATACACAAACCCACCACCCTAGGTCCTCTACTACAGATACTGTCCAGCTGAAAGAAAACCACCAGCTTGAGTCAACTAACACAAAAACCTTCCCACCATAGTACAGAGTGGGTGTAGCTACCCACTCTACAGCAAGTATCTATACTCCAGGACAAATAAGCTGTCAGGAACAAAACATTGTTTCTACCTAATATAAAAAAAAAAATAAAATCTACACAAACTGACAAAGAGGAAAAGTCTAACATGAGAGCCCACTCAACCTGTCCACAGATATGATCACAAAATGTTAAGAACCAGTTGTCATTAAAATTACATGAACAAGAATAAACATCACATTACAAAAAAGAACCAAAACAAAGGTGTAGAATGAATACAAGCAGCAAAATACACAGTCTTTGTATGATCTGACAGGAATTAAGAAAATACTTCTACAGGCATGTAACTCCACAAGATGTATACTTCAGGGGTTCCTTGCCTTCCTTTATGAAGCCACTTATCTCCCAATAAAGAACCAAGAAACTCATACTGAGCTAAATGACTTCTTAAATTATAATCCTTAAGTCTTAAGCAAGAATTGCAAATTAGAAAAATCACAAACATGGGCTTCTGCTAATGAAAGAAATAGGGGGATAAGCTAATTTCAACCTATTCTTCAAAAATGTTTCTGGACTGCATAGGTTTCTTGAATTCTCAAGAGGAATCCATAGCTTCTCTAGTAAAGCTCTCCAGCTCCATACAGATAGACGTTCAATGTTTCAATATATTGAGGTCACAAGAAAAGATACTGCCACTGGCAGTCAAACATCCCAACTTCCAATGGTCTTTGCTACCTGTCACCTTACAGAAGACAGTAATCAGTGGAACAATCTAACCACATGGTAGTGCATTCTTGAATACATGCCCTCCGTGTTCAGTCCTTCGCTCACAAGAAGACAGAAAAGTGACCCCACAACATTTGTTGCCCCTTTGAATTTTCTTGGAAGTTCCCAAATTAAAAAAAACAAACAACACAAAAAAAACAAACCAAAAGCCACGAAAATTGTTACGTTTGGGTTTTTCCCTTTGTTAAAAGGCAGATTTCTGTTAACTAGATCTTGAGTTTATTTTTCCATTGTTAAAAGGCAAATTTTTGTTAACTAGTGCTCGAGTTTATTTTATAGTTACACAGTGTCCTGCAGGTACATAATTTTTTTTTTTTTTTTTTAACCTTTTTAAAGCTGGTAACTCTGCCTCCAGAGAAGAGGTATGCTTGTTAAAGAAAAACACAGCACTATGGAAAGGAGTAAACCCCCTTTATTTTCAGATTCTTCTGTGTGGAAGATGACTCCTGCTGGTGTTTAATTTTATTAAAGAGGAAAATTACACAAATATGAACTTAAAAGGGACAGTTTCAACATGTAAAGAAATACTTACTCTGTAAATAGTGCAAAACCATCAATACAAGACTATAGCTGCTTAAGGTACCGCGACTGGCATCATTTATGTCATGAAAACTTGCCCACTTCTTAACAACAAGTACTAACGGACGAACTCGATTCTCAACTGCAAGTAAAATAAATACATCTCAAAAAAAGCAAATTTAACTAGACAGCAATCAATCAACATTTGTTCCTACTTGATCAACACGATACTCTTGTATTCTAAGGTTACCTTTTACAACCATTTTATAGAATTTACTTAGTTGTTCTACAATTACTATCCATCTTATAAATATCAGAAAAAAATATTTGCATTTGAAAACAGTCTTGAGTAGTAAGATCCACAGACACATTACAAGGGGTATGCCAGGTAACTCGCAGATAAGGCAAAACTGTACGCATCAGGCAATACAGCAGTGTCACATAATATTTTAAGTTTTCTCCAGTTCATACTCATTAAATCAAGACATATGCTTTTCATAAGGAAAAAAATAAATACAGTCATATTCCAGGTATGATCTTCTGAATTGCCGGGGAATACAGACAGCATTCTAATTAAGGTAGTAATCTGTTGTAGGGAGATGTCACTTACCACCACCTCCTAGGGACCTTGCAGAGTACTTAATTTATTATTTGCAGATATGTGGAAGCAGATCATCAGGTCAGTCAAGTGCCTTATGATGGCCTTACAATGCCATGCCTTACATGTTGTGGCGTATCTTTTCTAACCTGACAATGTCATGCAAAGTTTTGTATTCTACACATCAGGACAGGAATGTATCAATAGGTAATTGCTTCATCCAGGAAAACAGACATTCTGAAACAGCACCGGTAGTGGTACTCTCTGTTATTCTGAAAATCCTATCAAGCATGCGATTTTCTGGTACTCTGTCCCGCCCCCCCCCAGCATGAAGGTCCTAGATCTGGAAGACCTCTTAGAAACAACTAACTCCTTACCACCAGTCACCTCATTGCCAACATTATTCACCAGTGGTTGAACTAGAAAAATATGGCTATTAGTATGCTAACTGTGAGATGCAGAAGAATTACTGTACAGACTTCATATGAACATGCATGAAGTGAAATACAATTTTTCCATGAGAGAAAAATGCAAGTAGGCTCAAATTCCAAATGGGACTGTTTTGTGTCATTTGCTCAAAAGTCCAGCTTCCACTAATTGAAAAATACCTACCATCAATTGCTGATTTAGTTGCAGAGATGTCTCCTTAGGCAAACAACTGATAACATAACAGTATAGACTTCAATTTCTAGCTCTGCTTAATCTACCTACATTTTCTGTGGACATTCAGTTTCACTTTGCCACATCATCTTTGATGTTTTCTACAGCTCCTATGCACCAACATAGGCTGATTTCAAAAAAGACAAGACGACCCACAGAAATATTTATGCTGCTTTTTTTTTTATCGTGCTAAGATAACCAGTCCCTTGTTTGCTTGAGCATCTGTTGTGTTCTAATGGAACAAAGAGACCTATGTATCTTCCACGTGAGAGGTAATTTGATCTTTCTATCTCCCATGCAGAGTGAAGCCCTTGAGCCACAAATTTAAGTGATCAGGCTAATACTTTTACTGCTATCCACCCTGGTTGATACGACTTCTGAAAATATGTAAAGCGACTGTCTGATCCAAGTTTCCATTTACTTTTGTTTGTCTTACATCACGTGAGAGTTTTCTGGTCCAGCAAAGACAAGACAGCCTTTGCTTGATACAGTTTGCTTATTTAAAAAAGTCTAGCACATTGAGGAGATACTCTTTTCAATCACAAGTCTCCCTTAGCTGCTAACTTACTCCTTGACCTCAAGAAAATAAAAATATTTATCCTTCATCAGGAGACATAAAGTTAATTTTACTGGCTTTATAAAAGTGGGCACCAAGGCAGAACGGAAGAAAAGGTGGGACACTAGGACCCCTTCCGCTGCTCTTCCACTCACTCACATCTGACTCTTGTCTGCCCTACAGTGATTTGCTGAGAAGAATAAAGGAAATCTGTGGCAGAAGTTAGGAACAACTATACGAACATTAGACTTGTTGAAGTGATCTGTAGCCATGAATGACAAAGATTATTTCCCTAACCATTTTAAGGAAGAAAATCCTTCTCCATGCATATGCATTGCTGGATATATGAAGAAAATACAGTTAACCAATTGGTCCAGGACAAGTTGGAGCCTCTCCTAGTAATGTTAATATGGAACACAAACTATTCTAAAATATTAGTAAAAATTAACTAGTAAAGGTAACTTCTACCGATAACTTCCTGCCCTACATAGAAAGGAATTCCCGTATGCAAGAACTGAAAAAGGTGGCAGAGGAAGAATTGCAAATGGCCTAAAAGAATTAGCTTGAGGTCCACTCCTTATGCATTTATCTGCCAAATGACATTGTGATGCTAAGTAAGAAAAAAACCTTAGTTCAGCACTGGGTGCTGTTCTTATTAATTCCCCTTCAGAAGTCTGTTTCACAACCTCTCCCCAAAATGCAAACTCCTGAGAAGACACAAACCAGCTTTGTTTTGGGGTTAGTGTAAAAACTGAAGCAGTAATTTGGATTTTCCAATAAAAGACTCTGTAACAGGACACAGATGGCTAGCTATCAGCCATGCATACCTATCAGGGGCTGTATGGAAATAAAAGAAACTGGAGATTACACCACTAGATAATGATTAGTATAATGATCTCATTATCTGCAGAATACTGAAGCAGCCCTTGTAGCAAATATGTGGACCTTAATATGAAGAATCTTTGTTACCTTCTCAATATTATGATATTAAATTAAAAACATACCTAGTTGATATATCAGTTTTCTCCATATATTTAGAGTGAGCAACAAGAAGTTATCTTAAAGCTATCTAATGCAACTCATTAGGTAATTACATATATGTAGTAACCTAGTATATTCAACTGCATTTTAATAGTCTATCAATACCAAAGTACAAATCTAAACATCAAAGTTTAAAGAAATAAGAAAATACAAAAACTTACTGTATGCATAGGTTCTCAGAAGGAATGTATTTCTTATTCCTACAACATTGTTTACATTCAAGTCAAACTCCACACAGCTATTGGGTAGGAGAAAAGAAATAGAATCAAGCATTATGGTATTCTGTTTCAGAATATTTATTACCTATTTAGTGACAGAGATGGAGAAATGTAACTTTAAGATAAGACTCCAGAAACTTTCTTCAAACAGAGTTTTGATGCTGTGATTTCTATTCTGGTTTTGTTTATAGTACTTGAATTGCTTATAGACCGGAATTCCATTGATATAAAATGTAGTTGTTGTTTTACACAGAGAATACATTTAGACCTTAGGACAACTTAAGATATCAAATATGTTTTGGATAAATCTTTCTCCCACCTAGACTTGCACTACATGATTTACTATGGACAACTTCTGATGCCAGGAAAGATTCTCTGAGGTATCAGTTTAGGAAAACAGGCCAATGAACTGAGAAGGAGAACTGGAAGAGCTCAAAAGGTAAGAATCTCTTTTCTGCAACGACAGTCAGAGATAATCAGCAAGCACTTTGAAATGAAACCTGCTTATTAGCAAACTTTGCACGTTTTGTGACAAAACAGTTTTAATAACTGTTTCATGCTGTTGACAGCAAATAAGAACAAGGCAAACAAGTACTACCTGCTTTATTTATATCATGTCCCACCCCAAAGTTTGAATTTCACACTGCATATAGAGCTTAACTACTCATCAGTGGTCAAGAAACAATATTAAATTCATAGTTAATTAGCTATAGCAGCACTGTAACTCGCAACAAGAAGAGCCTATTACTGACAAAGTAGCAGCTATCTGCAATGTACAGCTACTTCCATTTCATATATCCAAGTCTAATTCACATAGCATTTGTTTGCTTGAATATTCCTTTGGATTTTCTTGAGTTATTGTAAGGGGCACATGACCTGGAATTTATATTAAACTGGGTAAAACATATTAATTTGATGCCTACAAAAGTTTTTTGACATCATTGACTACATTAAAGCATTCTTTGCATCGAAGATAATACATGATTTTAAACCTGAATTAATATCAAGCATGACTTTTTAGATGTTTTAAGAGCACACGACATAACAGTACCTGGGAATACAATAGGAAACAAACAAGCTCGAGCTACTGTTTGAGGTGTTGTAAAAATAAGTATAAACACAAGTAAGAATATTAGTTGTATGTGCAAATATAATAAAGAAATATGTCAGGCTGCCTGTGTAATTCCAATTAACCCCAGCTGACAAGATTACTATTTACCAGATGCTGATTAAGCAAGTTCTATTGCAGTTATTTTGTACTTTAATATGCACATTTAATAGACGTTGCAGTTATGGCAAGTGAAAAAGGTTTTGTACTGTCGGGACTCAAGTTCTACCAAAGGCACTATAGGAGAGGAAAAGAGTCAACTGCACATCAAATGTAGCAGAAGAGGAAGCTTTTGCATCCTCTGTAGTACAGAAATTTTGTTAATTAATCAAAGGCTTGTCTGTTAGCAGAGCCAGCATTGGAATGATTTCCTGGGAAAGACTACCAAAAAATATAGATAATAAGTCTTTAAGTGCAGTGGATCTCACCTTACTGTTATAGCGCTAAAAAAACCCCTTTAAGATGAAAAAGGAGAACAAACACAAACTGCATGCTTTCTCCTTCACCAAATTAAAGCAAGTGGGAAAGGGCAATTTTCAGGTACATATGGACCACTGCCAACATATTAGAATCCATTTGCAGAGATACCCCCTCATTTAATTCTACCATCTTCTCCCAGCAGCTGGGCACAAAGAAAACTGCCTTTCACAGGAAAACTAGTCACATTTAGTTTCTCGTTTGGCTAAAACAAGCTTAGTGCCCTACATACAGAATATCCAATCCATTTTTCAAGACCTCTGTGAAAAAATGAATCAGTGTGCATGTATGTATATGTATGAGCCGACAAAAGACACAGGCCGATAAGAGATGGGAAAGAGACAGATGCTTAAATAAAATGACAAAACATGGGAGGAGGCGACAGATTATGTAGGAGAAAAATAACTGGAAAGAGAGAAGAAAAAAAAAAAAAAAAAAAAGAACCAACCAAACAAAAAACCCAACCCAAAGTCATGTCATTCCTCCTGCTCCCCTCTTCCAAAAAACCAACACAGGAAACCAGATGGTGAACAGTAGAGGTATCTTCTCTGAAAAATGTAATGGGCAGCTTCTAGTCTAAAAAGATTATACTTTGATTTAGTAGGAAATAAAGAATTCCTGTCTGTAAGGTATATGAATATAATGACTGTTTGGGTTTTTTTTTTTGGCAAGTGACCATAGCAGGGACTACAAATGCCTACAAAAAGACTTCAATCTTCTAACATAACCACTTCCATACTTACAGTTTCTTTTTAAAGTTTATTTTCTGATTTTAAATTGGAAAAAAAATATTCTTGCTATAACTTCATGATTTATTCAATATTCGTACCAGGAGTTTACCATTTAACGTATCTACGAAAAGACTAGCATTGTTATACATAGCTAAGCCATTTAACCCAAATTTTAGCTTGACAAGTTTAATACTTTCAGAAAGCACGGGAGAAACAACCTTCTGTATTCTTAGAGGAGAAAGTAACTAGACAAAAATTATTCAAATTTTTAAAAGGTAGGCAAGTATACAGAATTAAATATAGGATTAGGAGTAAATGAAAAAAGTATACAGCAAAAGCCTAACAAGTTTTATATAATCTCAGATGCAAGAAAACCTTAAATGGATATTTATTAGTTAAAATTGTACACGACAGATTCAGTTTTATCACAGCAGGGCTTCTGCACTGATAAAACTATGCTACTATGCTGTGATGAAAGCACATTGTGATAAGCTTTTATAAAAAAAGACCAGAGAAGTGGGCTTATTTGTTTTTAAAAGTCAGAGACAGGGTTGCAAAATTTTAGAAGCATATAGGCATAAGACAGTTAGATACATACAAGAGAGTTGTTCAAAGTCCTATTTACAAAGAACAGTCAAGCTATATTATTACATGAAGGTGATACACATAAGTCTTACAAAATCTAAGCCCATAGATACAGGATTTGAATGTTACTCAGACTCCCAACGAATTTGAGTGCTCTGCAGTTTTTTCCTGTCAGACACTTTTATCACACACAATAAGAAATACATTGTTCTCTGTCCTAGTACATCCTTCTTGATTATTCATTTTCATGTCTTCATAAAATGAATACAGTAACACACAACACCTCTATTTCCCTCCAATTCCTTCCCCTTCTAAAAAAAGGTCATAAAATCAGTACCTAACACTGAATAGAATATGTAATATTACTTTGTTAAACAGAGGCTACCTCCCTAGAAGACAGCAGAATATATTCTAAAATGAACAAAAATTTTTAAATTAAGAAAACAATGTCATCACAAGAAACTAAAGTTAGTTTTAGTGTTGTTTGTATAGTGTAAATGCTGTGAGTTAGTCCTTAAGTAGCTCAATAGTTATGTTTGCGCAGCAAGCAAAATTATCTTTCGCAACAGTTTTCTTCCCACCGTTGTTTTTCTGCCACAAATCATTTGTCAGTAGGAGTCTGCTACGTACAAATAACCCACAGAAACACATGATGTACTGCTACTAACTCATATCACAGAAATTAAGCAGCATCTCAACCGCAAGAGGTGTTCAGGCCATCAAGGAAGTAAGCTGACTGCCACTGCACGCTAGCCGTACAAATTTGCAATACAGCCATAACAGACCACAAGTAAACAAAGTATGACTTCAGTGGGACTACTCATATGGACAGTAAATATATAGAGTACTTTTCTGTATCAAAGTCTACAAAATTATGTTGAACAGAATACTTGCCTGACTTTATCCCTGAACTTCACTATTGGCACTTTTGCTCGAATCAGCTGAGGTCGCTCAATGTAGCTTGCTGAAAGGGAGAAAAATAGGCAATTAAGTTTCTTGTAAGATGCTGATCTTAAAATAAGATCCTAAAGCAGAGTCATATTGACCGATTTATAGCAAATATTAGCTTATTAAATTTAGCAAAAATATTCTCAGAAGGGTTGTGCTAAACTAAGTAACCTTCAGCAACTGCAGCAAAAACACAGTCTAGGGAAGCATGTGGAAAAAAAAGCACTAATCATTAGAGGAAGATTTTTCTGTTGGAAGTATATTCAGAAATTTGAACATAAGGAATGCAGTTCCACAATGCTTTCACTGTGCAGTACTTGTAATAGAATTCCTGAATAGTTATAATTAAGATTCAAAAAGAAGGGAGCAAGAACATATCCATCCAGGATGCCCAGACACTTACGCCCAGCACTACATTGTAGCAACAGGCACATGATCAGCTGCATACTTTTACTGATCAAAAAATATTAACATAACCACCTTCGCTATGTGCTGATTATGCTTAAAGCTGTTTATTTGACTGATAAAGAGCATATAAAAAAATAAATTTCCTATCGAATTGTTGCTGAAAACAGGACAACGCTTTCCATGAAAGATGGGATAAGCTTTATTTGCCTTTTGCTTTAATGGTGATAGGTCACACAATAAATATACAATCACAGGACTGCACCTCAGATGATTATCCACACAGTATAGACACACAGGCTCAATGCCAGACCATCCAAACCCAAACATGCTAAACTCTGCCAGACTCATACAGTGCCACAGAATGCACCTTTGCACTCAGATCCCCAAAACTGTTGTCAGTTGTGTTACCCATGATCTCCCTATTCTTGATGATATCTCAGGCTCTATTTACTAGTTGCCCATAATCCTGAATGAGAAATGCACCCAAGAAAGTAATGGAAAAGACAAAGAAAAGCAGAGCCCATAGGTTACACAGTATGAATTTGGGCAAAAAGCACAGTTTTAATAACTTCCTCTGTTGCAAAATCTAGGCCCACTTGAATTTGCTCATATATAGCATTATATATATTCCCCATACTTCTATAAATTATCCTCAAATTAGCATAAATAAGTATGACAAAGCTAGAATTAATACAGACTAAAAATAATCTTAAACAAAAGTGATCTAGTTAGCAGTGTCCCTGCTCCCTGCAGGGGGGTTGGGCTAGATGACCTCTAGGGGTCCCTTCCAACCCAAGGCATTCTACGATTCTATGATTCTAAAAGCTGACCTTCACTTTTGGGGAAAAAAAAAAACACAAAGAGGTATTCTATCAAGTTTGGGTAGCAACCTCGATTAACCAGTGTCATCTCCATTGCACTCAGATGATAACTTCAGGTTTGGTAAAACCCTACTGTGCAATATTCAATTAAAACAAATTTTACCTTTTTTTTTTTTCTTTTTTTTGAGACATTCTGAAGGTGTTTTATGGATACATCTGTTTAGACAATTTAATCTGAGGTAATCCTTTACATGGATTTGAATGCATTGTGTGATCCTTAGCAACACACATACTGACTTTCAAAAAAAAGCTATTTTAACTTACTCATTTTAAAGGAAGAATCTAACAGAACTCCAGGCCACATTCGCTGAACGTACAGTCTAGTACAACTTACACAAGCATCCCCTTTCTAGCTGCACGTGCAGACATATCCAAGCATCCCTCCTCCAACATCCCAGAACATTAAAGTGAAGCTAGAAAGTGTGTAGGGCTCTCTGCCTCCTTTCCTTTTGCTACCAAATTTTAGACAAAGATACCCACTGTTGTCTACCATGTGCTAATGTGTTGGGCATCTATCTTCATGCCATGCCAATTCAACTTTCCTCACTATGACCTTTCTCAAGCGCCCTTCAGAAGTTAACTGAACTCATTCTAGCAGCAATCCACTTCCAAACACATCCTTGTCTGCAAATGCCTCCCAACACTTGATGGATGCTTGTGTCAAATTAGTGGGCTAAGGAAAAAAATAAATCCCAGAACACAATCCAAATCTGTTTCCCAGGGTGAAATGAAGCAAAGATGATGTTAGAAGGCTGTTACTTGCTGCTGGTACCCTCTTTCTTGGCTCACACTGATGACACTGTTAGCAGAATCTCTACAGTACATTAGATCGTCATACATAGAAGGGAAGAAACAGTCACAAACACAGGATATGGAATTCTGAAATACATACAGGTTGAGTAAGTGCCTCAGTAAACTGACTATCTGACCTTGAAGCTATGACCAGAGGGGCTACACCAAAATACACAAAGAATTCCACATAGCTGCTCCACAGTTTTGGGCACATCTATGGAAAAAGTCACAAATGCCACTTTAGCTGTAGTGAAAAAGAATATAACCACTTCAAAGACTACTAAGCACTGTTTCATAAATAACTTCTTCATGCAGAATTTCAGATTAAACAGCTTACCTGTCACTTCTTTTACAGAATTAAACATTAAGTAATTGTACAAAATATTAACTCCAAACATGATATATGCCAAGATCATCTTTGGCATCCTGCACCCGTACCTGCTGTCATTAATAGAGTTATATTACAGAGAGGTAAACCGGGTGACACAGAAGTCTGAACCGAGAGTCATGAAGAATCTAGGAGGGTACAACCCAGCACAGCATGGATTGTTGATGCTTGGAATTCACTCACCCACCTGCATAGTCCTTCAAGGTCATTCATTTGAGTTCAAGATCCCTTGCCTGTCCTAGCTGTTGAGCATTGCCCACTAGACAACCGTTAGGCAGATTCCGCTCTGATATCCTAGTCTCAACACTACTGCATCTCTTTGTATAACTAAGAGAAAATGACCTCTTTGTTATTTATTCAGATAGTAAACACCAGTCAACCCAGTACTGCTAAACTGTTCTTCAAATTAATCCTGCCTAGACAAATCTGAAGAGCGTAATCAGTTTGACGTTTACTCTCAGTGGTTTGGACTATACTTTCTTCAATATGTTGTAACAGTTATCACCCCAAATTCATGTTTCGCATTTCACATTTCTAAAAGACATTGGCCTGAGCATACGTTTCTGGGAATGTTAGCCAATATTGTAAAAAATAGATATTTGCAGGTATCTGAACAAATAAGTGGAAAAGTTACACACACTCTTCTAGTCTTTGAAACAGAAGATAGATATTTCAGTTATCCTTACATCTCTCTACTCTAGGAGAAATGCAATACATACCTTTAAGACTAACAATTCCCACAAAAACAGTGAATAAATATCAGAAGCTTTTTCATACTTTACTCTGTGACTATAGACTATTCAAAAAAGAACAGACCCGCATTTCAGTCAGTACTCCAGATGCAGAATGACAGCATAGAAAAGCCCCTGCTCTATGACTTTAAATCTGATGGACTCAAATTACTTGCTCACACTTGTTACCTTTTGCAAGCCTGAAACTGAAATAAGCTGGAGCTTAAAGAAATTTTGAATCCACTTCCTAAACCTCCTAGAATGAAACTCTAATCTAACAATCACAGCTAACTGTATATAAAGGATAAAAAGAGATGGCACTTAAAAGTTCTGAAGATGATTACCTAAAAGAAAGACAAATTGTGAAAGAGACTGATCTAATCTGCACTTGGAATACTTCCTAATTTATCAAGCAATCATGGAATTAAGGTGAAATAAGCAGAGAATCACACTCTTCTTATAGCCCTTATTTTGGAATGTACAGGAACACCACAGAGTGCAAGAACAAAGAGGAAGATGTTAGGAGATGCACAGCTAGAAAAAAAACTTCTCCCAAGTTTCTGAACTGAAATGATCTGGGAAAAGGCTAAAAAAATTTCTAGAACATTAACTATACCACAAATCTGCTCCTTCTTTATTTTTGTCCCTTAACTTTCAACAAAACCAGACCAAGAACTTCATTTTAAATATCTTATCTTTCCTCCGCATCTTGTTTCTCTTGCATCTTGGCACACACTTCATTAGCTTTCATGTTTGGCCCAAACTATATTTATTTCCATTCTCTTCTGTGAAGCAAGGAATAAGTTTAATGACAGTTCACGCGCGTGTTGAGAACATGCTGCAGTCTTTCTTGTACAGAAGAAAGAAGGAAATACTTAACTAGTACCGTCAAAAAGGGATTACTTTAAGATTACAGGATTGCATCACACGTATTAACTGGACAGCACAAAACTTAAACATAATCATCAGAAGAAGGTTCATACCTTTTAGGTTATCAAAAAGCACATGCAATAAAATACAGAATGCTGCTGGAATGAAACTGCAATTCTTAAAGAAGCTTAGTACAGACAAGTCTTACACTTGCTTGTACACAGCAGCAGCATATGTGCACTGCTAACCCTTTAAAAGTTGCAAGTCTAGAGTTCTGGTTCAAGTTGAAGTAACATCTCAAAAGAATTACAATTTCTGTAGGCTTTTTCTTTAAATGTATGTACTTGTAGATCCCATCCTTGATAATTAAGTGGCAGGTGACTTCTGAAGACTGTAGAAGGCAGGAAATTACTTAGCTGTGCAGTTCTATTAAACTTAGCAGCCAATCTGGAGCTGACAACAAACTGCCATTTCTAAGCACATAAACCGGACTCCACAAACCTGCAGGAGTGCCAGTAGGACACCGGTGAAGTGCATACTGCTAAGCTAATTTCCCCAGAGGCGGAAAAAAAGCATATGAATCTGTTAGCTTCTGAAGTTAGCCTGGGGGAACTATCTGCCCCGCTCTTCAACCAAAACCAACCTGCAAAGCTATTTTGAAATCATGGATGACAGGAATTATATTTGCCCAAATAAAGTTTAATCAAAAAAACTGGGCAACCCCCTTGTTTCAGAAATACTGAACCCTAGCATAGTTGAGCTACAGTTTGTAAATGAAATAAATCCAAATGGAAAGAGCCATATGGCAAAGCCTTTTCATTTTGAATCCGGTGAACATTTTCAAACAAGTTTTGTCTATCAGTCTATCCACAGAACATCCATACACAGGCACAAGGACAGATGGCTAGGTATAGGAATTCATGCCCATAGTGACCAGCAAACTGGTAACAGCCGATGAGGAGAAGGCTGAGGTACTCAACAACTTTTTTGCCTCAGTCTTCACTGGCAACCTCTCTCCTCACCCCTCCCGAGTTGATGGATGGCATGAGGGGGACCGGGAGGGCATAACCCCTCCTGCTGTAGGAGAAGATCAGGTTTGTGACCACCTGAGGAACCTGAATGCACATAAGTCCATGGGAGCTAATGAGATGCATCCCAGAGTCCTGAGGGAATTGGCTGATGTAGTCACCAAGCCCCTCTCCATGATATTTGAAAAGTCACGGCAGTCAGATGAAGTCCCCAGTGACTGGAAAAAGGGAAACATTGTGCCTCTTTTCAAGAAGGGTAGAAAGGAAGACCCTGGGAACTACCAACCTGTCAGCCTCACCTCTGTGTCTGGGAAGATCATGGAACAGATCCTCCTAGAAGCTATGCTAAAGCACATGGAGGCCAGGGAGATAATTCAAGACAGCCAGCGTGGCATCACCAAGGGCAAGTCCTGCCTGATGAACCTAGTGGCTTTCTATGATGGTGTGACAACAACAGTGGACAAGGGAAAACCAATGGACATCGTCTGTCTGGACTTCTGCAAAGCCTTTGACACAGTCACCCACAACATCCTTCTCTCTACGTTGGCGAGCTATGGATTTGAGGGGTGGACTGTTCGGTGGATAAGGAATTGATTGGATGGTTGCATCCAGAGGGCAGTGGTCAACAGTTCGATGTCTGGATGGAGACCGGTGATGAGTGGTGTCCCTCAGGGGTCCATACTGGGACCAGTGCTGTTTAATATATTCATCAATTTCTTCAGACAGCGAGATCGAGTGTACCCTCAGCAAGTTTGCAGATGACACCAAGCTGAGTGGTGCAGTTGACACACCAGAAGGACAGGATGTCATCCAGAGAGACCTGGAAGGATCGAGAGCAGCCCTGCCAAGAGGGACTTGGGGGTGCTGGTGGATGAAAAGCTGGAAATGAGCCGGCAATGTGCGCTGGCAGCCCAGAAGGCCAACCGTACTCTGGGCTGCATCAGGAGAAGCGTGGCCAGCAGGTCGAGGGAGGTGATTCTGCCCCTCTGCTCTGGTAAGACCTCACCTGGAGTACTGCGTCCAGTTCTGGAGCTCTCAGCACAAGAAGGACATAGAACTGTTGGGAGCTGGTCCAGAGGAGGGCTACTAAAATGATCTGAGGGCTGGAGCACCTCTCCTCTGAGGACAGGCTGAGAGAGTTGGGGCTGTTCAGCCTGGAGAAGAGAAGGCTGCGGGGAGACCTGATTGCGGCCTTTCAGTACTTAAAGGGAGCCTATAGGAAAGGCGGGGACAATCTTTTTCGTGAGGCCAGCTGTGACAGGACAAGGGGCAATGGTTTTAAACTGAAGCAGGGTAGGTTTACACGGGATATAAGGAAGAAATTATTTACAATGAGGGTGGTGAAACACTGGAACGGGTTGCCCAGAGAGGTAGTGGAGGCCCCATCCCTGGAAACATTGAAGGCCAGGTTGGATGGGGCTCTGAGCAACCTGATCTGGTTAGAGGTGTCCCTGCTCATTGCAGGGGCGTTGGGCTAGATGACCTCTAGGGGTCCCTTCCAACCCAAAATATTCTATGATTCTATCATAGTGATGTTAAGATTATGAAGAGATGATCTAACAGGTCCACATACCCCAGCTAAGAAATTCTGACAGCAGTGGTAATATCAGCAGTGTTTTGCCCCTGCCTCACCTTCCAAAGAACATTTTGATTAACTGAAGCTGACAAAAGGCACTTGCAAGGTAACAGAGAATTAGAAAAGCATCAAAAATGAGCAATGGCACAAACAAAAGCCTTCAGGGATCGCTCCCACATGACCACTGTGTTTTTCCAATACTTGTAGTCCCTGGCAAACAAACTTGATTTTGTCTAAAGCTCTGTCACAGAACACAACCTCTTGAAAAAAGAAGAGGGTGATTTAGATGCTCCCTTTCAAATCCCTGAAAACACAACTATTTAATCACTGTGCTGCTCAGAAAGCACTGGAATGACTTGCATGCTAGGCAAACACAGACTAAGTTCTGGACATCTTATGCAAACATCACTACACAATACAATAGTAAAATAGCCATTAAATATCAGATGCCTATTCTGTGATGGATCTATCAACTCTTTCTTCAAGTGAGCTCTTGAAATCTTGGTATGCACACTTACCAATGAAGAAATTTTGAAGTCTGCACTTAAATTTAGTTTTTTCCTTTTACCACTGCAGGACTGCTCAGAACAGGAATGTAAGGAGTTGCATCAATGAATATATCACAAGTCTGAGAAGTAGGGGGACACAGTCATTGATATCAATAAATGAGAGGGTCTTTTACAATTCAAAGGATGGTACAAAAGCTTCTTTGAAGTAGGAAGCTTTCACATATAAGTCAAGAACTGCCCACGTGAATTCTTCATCTGAAGAGAGTCTAAACAACATCTTATAAGAACTATGAATTGATCGGTTTCTCCTATGTGTGCTGGTACTGTCAACATTTAATATTTTCTTCACTAGGCACCTAAGTGAATTATTTCACTGGCATCAAGGCTCGCCACCCCCCCCTTCC